GGGCGGGTCTTTTAACAAATTCAAGAAAATCCTCCACAATACCTTTAAGTAAAAATAAAAATGTTTTTGAGTTTGGCTAAACATTCTTAAAAACAGAGTATCTTAATTCTGATTAAATTTGCAAAATTGCACAAACTGATTTTAAATGTTTCAAATTCATTTTCCAAAGAGGTTTGCTATACAGTCTGTTTAAGGATTTTGCTCTGACATTAGGAAAACTGTCAGCAAATTTTGATGAATTTGCAATAGAAAAGACTTTTTCCATATCGCCCCTCCAAGTCCATGTGTAAAAACCATTAAAACACATAAATATAACTTAACAGAAGTAGGGGAAAAATTGCTTCCCTGTTTTATACTAAAACCATTAAAGGTTGTATTGTATATTTTTTTCTTGACTTTTAAACTCTTGGTATCACAAAAATGGAGAAAAGAAAATGATCTCAGGAGTCTGACTCAGCCTGGAGCCACTGTGCTTATATTGGTGGGAATAAATAGCCGTACTGGCCTACATACCTGCAGTGGGTTTAATGGACTAAATCTGGTGAACCTGAAAAGCCAGTCTGCTCCAATATGCTGTTCACATGCAGCCTCCCGATCCAAGCTGATGGCTGCTAACCATCCCTCACAGATGACTGCAAAGTTCATCCGAGATGAACACACAGTCGCGATGATAGTTAATGAAATGATCTCACGTGTCCTCTCAGTGGATGCACTAAAGCGGGTCAATTTACTGTGTCAAAAAGGTTGGCCCGTGTCCCTCTCAAATGAAGCGTGACTGATGACCCGACGCTCTCAACGTTAAGTGCAGAGATGAAGGCAGGAGAGCTGAAGCAGAACATCAATAATTTGGTACTGATGATCATTTACACTTAGTGGAAGCATTCCCAGGAGATTAGAAAATAAAAGCCTAAATTAGACATTTAGTTTATTTGCTGTGCTTAACTCAAAAACACAGAAGTTAACCAGAAAGGAACCTTTGCACTTTAGTGACCTCTGAACCTTTCAGGAGCTGCATGTTCCTGTGAAATAAGCAAACCGTTTTAACACCCATGGCCCTGCAGAGGGAAATGGGTTTTTTTCCCTCGTAAAATATAAAAGGCCAATATGTCAGAGCAATTCATCTTCATTAAAGGCACAAATAAAATGCCTATTTGGCATTAGACTCGCCATTGTGTTTGCAGGGACTAAAAATATTCTTTATTATTTGCAGAGATATAGAAGAATTATTCTGATCAGACAGGAAGTACAGGAACATCTGGCTTGACAGTTTCCCTGTGCTGAAAATCAGCCCTCCACCCCCCCACACACCCTCTGACATCAAATCAGACTAAACCTTCCCAGATTTAGGTCAGTTAGGATTACAAAAACTATTTCTATTTGCTAAATTCCAAAATAATGAGATCAATTTGACAGACCTTTCATATGCATGTCTTCTCTTTTTGGTAGAATCACCAAGTTTTCAACTCTATAAAGGGGATTAAAAGTTCCGGGGGCTTTTGATTATAGTTTGCTAGAATTTTAGCCCATTCCTTCGGAAAAAAAACTACTGTAACTGATTCCTCGTCACTAAGGAGCTGAAGACTTTCCTCATAGAAAAGTTTACAGTAACGTTGGAATCACACAAAGCCAGAGGAGCTGTAATAAGTGCTGTAATGCTATTGAGTGGTCTAGTAGCGCTGCTGCAGAAGTGAAGGAGCCATGAAGGAAGTAGAGCAAGGTAATAAACCCAGCAGTGACAAAGGGGGGGTTTTGAATCACTTAAA